GTTAGCTCAGGGCCGGTCTTCCTCACAAAAAAAAAAATTGGGCAAAATATCTGAACAAGCACCTAACAAAAGAATATATACAAATGTCTTCAGTCATTAAATGCAGATTAAAACCACAATGAGACACCTCTATACATCCACTCAAATGGCTGAAACTGGAAGACTGACTACACTAAGTGTCGACAAAAGTGTGGAGCAACTGAAATTCTCTTCTTGTGCTAGGGGGAGTTTAAAATGGTACCAACACTTTGGAAAATATTTTGGTAGTTTCTTCTAAAGTTAAATATATACTTACCATATGACATAGCAATCCCACTCCTAAGTATTTATTCAGAGAAATGAAAATACATCTGCACATAAAGACTTGTACACAAAGGTTCCTAGTAGCTTTACTCATAGGAGGCAAAAACTGGAAACAACTCAACTGCCCATCCACAGATGAAAGGATAAACACACTGTGGTACACTCACACAATGGAACTCTACCGAGTATAAAAAGAACTACACTGGGCCAGGCCCCACAGCTGAGGGGTTAAAGTTGCTCGCGCTCTGCTCTGGTGGCTCAGGTTCCCATCCCAGGCACGAACCCACTCCACTCACCAGCCATGCTGTGGCGGTGTCCCATGTGCAAAATGGAGGAAGACTGGCATGGATGTTAGCTCAGGACTAATCTTCCTCAAGCCAAAAAAAGAGGAGGACTGGCAACTGATGTCAGCTCAGGGCAAATCTTCCTCAGCAAAAAAAAACTAAACCGTTGATAGATGTGATGACATGGATCAATTTCAAGAACATTCAATAAAAGAAGCCTTGGGCCGGCTCCGTGGCTTAGCGGTTAAGTGCGCATGCTCTGATGCTGGCGGCCTCCCGGGCTCGCCCCAAGGCACCGCTTCTCCGTCCAACCCGAGGCCGAGTCCCACGTACAGCAACTAGAAGGATGTGAACCTATGACATACAACTATCTACTGGGGCTTTGGGGGGAAAAAATGAATAAATAAAATCTTAAAAAATAAATAAATAAAATAAAAGAAGCCAGACACAAAAAGAGTGCATATCACATGATCCCATTTTTATCAAAACCCAGAAGAAGCAAAACTAACCTCTAGTGAAGAAAGCAGATGAGTAGTTATCTGGGCTGGGATGGGGATTAACTGCAACGGAGCATGAAGAAACTTTTTTAGGGTGACAGAAATGTTACCTTGATTGTGAATGGGAAAAAGACACAGTCACTTGTTAAAACTCAAGGAACTGGGTCCACTTATTGCATGTAAATCATATGCCAGTAAAGCTGCAGTTTTTTTCTTTTTTTAAAAAAGACTAAAGCAATTGTCTGAGCGTCAATAAAAAATAAAAAGAGCCACAGCGAGATGGTTGATGGTAAAACTCCAGAACTCCCAGGACAGAGAGGAGGCCCTAAATGACTGCAGAGACAGTCCAGTCACACGCACACAAGACAGGGATGCAGATGACAGCTCCGCAGTGCCCCCAATCCCAGGGAGAGCGACTTTCCCCGAGTGCCTGATCACCCAGGGGCGCAGGAGAGGCTTGTTCAGAAGGGCATCGTCTAGGAAATATACAGCTGCAGCTGTTCTGGGCACGGTGTCAGGGTGCACTGCAGGGACGTGCGCCCCACACAGAGGCCAGGCCCGGAGGGAGGCAAGTGGGCCAGCCCAGCAAGGAAGCAAAGAGGTGTTCAAATGGTGGTGAAGGCAAGTCCCAGATGACAGGCACAGAAGTCACCGACAGCCCTCACTCTCTGATTCCAGAGTTGCTAAGGGGATGAGACCACCCAGATACAGAGTCACACGTGAAAAGGAAGTGAACCCAGAAATAGCCCCACAGGTAAAAACAGGCCAGGATGGGTGTGAGAGAAGCTTAAATCTGCACTCAAGTGTACTCACACAGAAGGAATCTTAAAACACAGTACCTATGACCAAAGTTTCTAAGAGAACTCAGTTCTTAATAGGCATCAAAGATTGAGTGTACTCACAGCAGGAATCTCGAAAACACGATACCTATGACCAAAGTTTTTAAGAGAAGTCAGATCTTATTAGGCATCAAAGATTCATGCTGGAGAGAAAACTCACCTTATGCAAACCTCTCAAGAGCCCAAACCTTATTAAACATGAGCAATTCTCAGTGGAGAGAAAACCCATCAGTGAAATGCAGTGGGAACGTTTTCAGGCCCAGCTCAAACCTTCTTAGGCATCAGAGAATGCACACTGGAGACACTATGAATGCAGTGCAGGCAGGAAAGGCTTCAGGGCAACTCCGATCTCATTCGACCTCAGGGAATTCACAGTGGGGAAAGACCCTTTGAATGCAAAGAATGTGGGAGTGCCTCTCATCTTGCATCAGAGAATTCACACCTGAGAGGAACCCTCTGAAGGCAGTGAATGCCGAATCCCTCCAAGTGAGTGAGCCAGTGAGCACACACCTTCCTTGAAACCTGAGACTCTGCGATGGAGAAAAACTGCATGAAAGCAGCGGAGCAGGAGGGCCCTCGGTCAGAGCTCACAGCCCATCATCAGAGAATTCACAGGAGGGAAAATCTGTTAGTGTCAGAAACTTAAATTCACTCGGAAACGCTAAGAAAATTGCAAAACGTGGAAATCATTGAATAAAAATGTAAATACTGGGCAAGGGAAAAAAAGGTCATGAAAAACTGAAGCATTAACTCCAGGAACGACAAAGCATGGCACAAGAAAAGAGGCGCAAGTCATGGTAACATCAAGTCTGACTACGGATTTGACCCAAGTTAAGTCCACAAATCCACGTGACCACAGCAGACGGGTGGGGACCAGTGGGGAGGGTCACATGAGCCGTAATCAACATCTGTAAGAAGAGTAAATCAGAAGGCAATGTCTTCTGGACCCAAGACAGACCCTGAGTCAGAAACAGAGTGCCTTTCTTTAAAAAACAGAGGTAAGTACCAGACTTCATACGTAAGAACACAAAACTGATGCTGCTGGACCATATGAAGATCATCCTCCACATGTTAGCCAAGTCCACACGCAAACAGAGGCAACAATAACCTGGGAAAAGCATTTATAATTATATGGAAATGGATAATACCCTAAATATATGTATGAGAAAACTGATCAGGTAGGGGAAAAAGGAACATACCCTCCTCCAAGAAATATGGCCAAAGATCAACAAGCAATTCACCAAAAAGAAAGATAAACAGCCAAACATATACTCTATTTTTTACACTTCAACTTTGCCGATGAATGAAGAAATAAAAATAAAAGACACTATTTTTCACCTTTCAAATTGGAAAGTATTTTTTAGTAATATCCAATATACGGGAAGACATGGAAAAAAGACACGTGGACTAACAGCATACGAAAAATGGTACCATCTTTATGATCAGAAATTTGGCAAAAACCAATCCAAAGCCTTTCAAAATGAACCTCAGCTAACTCACACCCACTGTCCACCAGGCACAAGTGGCAGGAAAGCAAGTGGAGACCACTGCACCGAGTGTGAGGACAGCTCACACATTGTGACCCACACATTGAGACCGCGGCAGGTGGGTGGCCTCACAACAGCCACAAGGAGAGACACTCACTGCATCTCACCAAACACAAACCCCGGCCTAAGTCCAGGCCTGGGAAGACCCCAATGTGCTTTTTAGTCTATATATTACACTGAACGAATAAGAATACGAGAACGTATATCAAAACACTACACCTACAGGTGCTAAGGTTATAGGGAATTTACATGTTCTGTTTGCTCATCCATGTTCTCTAAATTTTTTATAATAACCATGTCATTTCTTTTATAAGGAGAAAATTAATAAAAGTTGTTAAAGAAAAAAGTTAAAACTTGAACTTTTGGCCATAAGAAGCTCATGCAAGGATTACAAAAACATCACCCAAAGGTTCAGTCTCCTAGGCAAACGTGCACCAGTCCTGAACACCATGTTTTAACTAAATTCTTAGAGTGCTTCCCACACGCACAGCACTATTTGAAGCCAGGGGAAGAGTAAGACCTGGTACCCACCACGAAGAGACGAGCTTATGGGCACTAGCAAGCTTCTGAGGCCACACCAGGACCCAGAGGTTCCAGCAAATCCTAGAAAAGCCCTCTACCTCTCCACGGGATCAGAGATGTAAGGCAGTCTGCCCAACCACCCGACTCCCCAAACCCGCACCTGGGTAGGAAACCAAGCACAGAGCAGGGCGGCTGTCTTAGCAGCCACGAGGCATACCTGACAGAAAGCCTCCCTTGTCACAGCGAGACAGGAGGCCAGCACACAGACTCTGGCCTGGCTTTGCCACGTTCTTCAACTAATCCCATGGCCACTGATTTTCATCTCACCTCTTACAAAGCCCTTACATTATAAAGAATACATGTGCAAATGGTATAACGAAATAATTTAAAACTTCTTACACACAACTTTATAAGGAGCTGCTTAATCTGTTATGTCCTTGGTTTTATTAGCAAAGCGCCCCTAATTGAACACCTTTTTGCAAATAAGGAGGCTGAATACCCAAAAGACTTTGGTAAGGTAATCCTATAAATAATCACATGCTACTAAAAATAAATATTCTTTAAATACACTGTATAAAGGATTACACTGTAAGCTTTTAAACGTCAATGGAGAAACCAGCTTTTAGGAAGATATTTTTCTCCTAATAATCAAAATGTCTTTTAAAATTGAGAACTTTAACGCATACAGGTGCTTAAGATAAAAATAAAAAGTATGAATTAAGCCATAAACATGCCTGCATTTTCAACTATAAACTCATCATACCCCACTCCGCTCCTTCCTTTTCACCTTCAGGAGGGACACCTGTCTGCCTGTTTGGTTTGAACTACAGCAGACACACTTCTGGTCACAGCACATTTACCTGCTAGGGTATGGGTCTGGTCTCAGCAGGACACATGAGGGGGCTGCTGTTCTCAGGGGGAGGAGCACCCCGGCCTGTTCACACTGCCCGATGAGGGGACAATTGGCGGTGTTGCGTTCTCGCCCTGGGCACAGCTCCTAGCACTCACCTTGTTGACCCAGAACACCATGGCATCCTCCAGGTCGTATGGAAGCTCTTTCGAGGCACTGAATGTTGAGAAGCGCTTGATGCTGGCCACCACCTTCTCGATGCTGATCATCTCCACGGTGTAGGCCATCATGAGGGCGTCCACCATGGCCATGTGGGCACTCTGGGAGCAGAGGCAGCAGTCAGTCACCTGAACCTGCCTCTCCCACCCAGCTCACCGCAGAGACCCTGCTCAGACTCCAAACTCCGAGGTTCCGTTGTTTTTCTCCTCTCCATATGAGGAGATTTTACAATCTTCATCTGCACATTACCCCTCCTCAGGGTGGGGCCAGCACAGCCCCCTGTGGTGTGGAGGGCTTTGTGCCCCCTTCCTCATCTACCTGACCACCCCAAGAGAGGCGCGGATGATGAGGGAAAAGGTATGAGAGGGCAGAGAGACGTGCCCAAGGCCGCAAGACCCTCCACAGGCCCTGGGTACCAGTCAGGAGCTCTGTGCACTAAAATTATGCCATGCCTTATGCCGTTCCTTCCCAGAACCTGAGTAACATTCTCTTGACCCACAACACATCATCCACAAAGTCCAAGAGTGAAAAACCACAGAATGCAAATGCCAGTGAACAGCCTAACAGAAGCAACGTAGGAGGTACCAAAAATGGCTTAGACCTGGAACGGTCTGGAAAAGTCGCATCAGTGGCATGGCTTTCAGAGAAAGATTGGGAGGGGGATGCTTAGGGGAGAAAAAGGCATATTTATTTTATTTTGGCACAAAATACAAGATATACACGAAACAATCTAATAAAATGGGCTCAGCAATTACGTAGCACATCTGCAGCAAGTCTGCCTCCAGATGTTTTCATTAACATACCTCGACTTTACCTCCGCTTTCACAGAGCACTCACAGGAGAAAGAGCTGAGAGGAGGCTGTTCTTTCCCATTTTCCAAAAACAATCACTCACACTTAGAGAGACACATCACTCAAGACACCACCGCACAGACTCAAACCTCGGCTGGCTTCTGGACACTCATGCTCACAGCTTCTTGTGCCTGAAGTTTCGAGGCTGACTTTGCCTCACCCATGCAGCCGAGCGCAGATGGACAGCTGGCAATGCGACAGGGCGGGGCACCCACCAGTGCCCATCGCACCAGAGGCTCCCACCAGTGGGTACGAGACAGACTCTGTGCCTGGCAAATGCACCTGAAATGCTTGGCGGCGGGGGGTACAGGCCACTCACCATCTTGATGGGTGCACGGCTGAGGTCGGGGTCCGTCACCGGGGTGTCATCGCTCTCCATCACGTAAATCCCTTTCCGGGACAGGGCCTGGATGACAGACTGGTGTCCCTGTAAGGCAGCCACCTGGTCCCCTTTCAGGATGAGGCTGCAGACGCGGCAGTACAGCTCGCTGGACAGCAGGAGCTTGATGACAGGTGGTTTGATGTGCTCCTGCTCATACTGGTCGATGTAAAAGGGGTCCCTGAGGTCCTCGGGGATGTTATCTGAGCCAAGCAAAGATTACCATGTGAGCGTAACACCCACTGCAAAACGCTCCCAGAGGACAAGGTGCCACTAATTACAAAGGGCGACTAACAACATACAGATCACAGCTATTCCATAACCCAACATCTCATCCACTTGCAAAGGCAACCTAGGTACCCACACCCCCTGGGGACACGGCAATACACATCCCTTAATAACTTCACCACCTCAAGAAGCAACTCTCCCGACATAGGACAGCAAGAAGCAGGGGTGGGACCCCTGAGGGGGCTGATGGGGCCAAAGTGAAACCAAGACGCAGTCAGGCTAGGACTGCACAGCACCTGAACACACCATAGGACAGCATATGGCACATAGAACAAGGACTCGGTCACACAGCAGGGACAGCGTGCAGCACACCCAGCATCAGCCCTGGGGCGGGAGCCAAGTGCATCCTCTTTCTGGCGTCAAACTGAAGATGACAACGAGGCCAAACACCATGGTCTTTACAGAAGAGAGAGCCAGGCCTGCTGCCACTCCGACCATGATGATATTACAGCGGCAAAAAGCCTTTCTCTGTCTTTGAACCAGGCAGCATTAAACTCTACTTGAGCCAAGTTACTTAAGTGCCACCACAATTCTATCAAATCGAGACTTTATCCCTACATTACAAATGAGGAAACTGAGGCATAGAGAGAGTAAGCGATGAGCCCAAGATCACAAGAGACAGGAACCAACTGTGGACGCAGTCTGATCCACAGTGTCCATACTGCCTCCCACACCAACACACCAGCCACATGTGTGCAGCTGGGGACGCCCACTTTCTGGATGGTTGCAATGGTCTCCCCAACGGTGTCCCTCACGTTTGCTTCTGCAAAATGTCAATCACTGCCCCCCAAAACGAGGGGGGGACACCCTGTAGTCAAGCATATTGGGAAACACCGAGTTAAACAGAGTAGGCTGATTTCTTTACACAAGGACCCCCAGAGCTTTAACATGCTCTGTGCCCTAAGACCTCCCCCTCTGCAGCTTTCTGGAACTGTCCCCACCTCTGGAAGAGTTCAGAAAAGCCTCATATCTCCAAGAACGCTAGTGAGGGAAACCCATGACACCAGGCCTGAAACCTGCGGTCACACTGGCGATATGCACAACGACACTAGCGGACCCGCTCTGCGCTCCACCTGAGGGAAGAGGCAGCTCTGCAAATGCTCTCTGACAGTGCCCCCGGGTCCTTTCACTCTTCACAGGCGCCACTGTCTGAGCCCTGTGTCATTTAATTATGGGTCTGTGGGTCCTCTTCATTTCCCCAGGGTCTTCCTACACTCCACACTTGGTTTCTTATTTCTAACAGCAGCCACTAACACTGATGCTGCACTTCAGTTCTTTTTTTTTGTGAGGAAGATCAGCCCTGAGCTAACATCCATGCCAATCCTTCTCTTTTTGCTGAGGAAGACCAGCTCTGAGCTAACATCTATTGCCAATCTTCCTCCTTCCCCCCCTCCTAATAGCCCCAGTAGATAGTTGTATGTCATAGTTGCACACCCTTCTAGTTGCTGTATGTGGGACGTGGCCTCAGCACGGCCGGAGAAGCGGTGCATCGGTGCGCGCCTGGGATCCGAACCCGGGCCGCCAGTAGTGGAGCATGCACACTTAACCGCTAAGCCACCGGGCCGGCCCTGCACTTCAGTTCTTAAGCACCACTGTACACATCTCATCTGAGCATCACGGCAGCCCTGTGGGTGGACAGGACGAGCATCAGCTCCAGCTCTGCAAGGCTGGAGGGACACACCCCTGGGTCAGTGGACAAATCAGATCCAAACCTCACATAAGTCAACCACACTGGGAACCATCCTATTTTGAAATTATCTGGAGTCCTGAAACAGAATAGATCACACCAATAATAAAAGAAGTGGGCTCCAGTGCAAAACCCAGTGAGAAGATTTCTGCTTCCTTTGTAGGCGGTCGAGGTGACACGTGAGTGGGGAGCTAAGGGAGGGAAGGGAGCCAGCCGCACCCACACAGGAGGGAGCCGTCCCAGGGAGCGGACAGCAGCCTGGGAGGACCTGCGCAGAGGACACAGGACCTAGTTCTGAACCGGGTGGGAGTCAGGGGAGCCGCTGAGCCAGGGAGTCGCGTGATCATATTACATTTTCAGAAGTTCATGCCGACTACGCAAGAAGGATGCAAGGGCCACTTTCAGCAGCAGCAGCCTGGCCAGCCAGGGCTCCCGATGACAGCGTACTGGGACGCCTCTCACCCCCACCCCCTCAATGCCTGGCCTACCTCCATCTCCTTTGCTAGTTCTCCCTCATTTCTCCAAATGCTGGAAGGGGCACTTCCTACACTACTGCCCAGGTGACCTCAGTCAGTCTCATGGCTTGAAGGACCACATGTAGGGGGTCATTCCCAAACGCACATCCTGACCCCGGCCACTTCCCTGAGCTCCTCTATCCCTCAATGCCTTGAGATGTGCATGCGTAGGTCTAGTGGCCCTCAAGCCTAACGCGCCTGTAAGTGAACTCTAACACCTCACCAAACTGCCCCTCCTGTGCTTCGTCTCAAGGCCAACTGCTCAGACCAAAAGCTTCAGGGTCATCTGGCTCTTTCCCTCCTGGCCACTCTGGCTGACTTTCCTTTTAAAATGTATCCAGAAAGTGACAACTTCCTGCCATGCCACGGCCACCCACCACACCACCACTGCCCCCCTAGTGTTAGCCACCCCCACTTCTCACTTGCCCGACTGATGCGCTCCCCTCTAGGAGAGCAGAGACCTGCAGGACTCGGAGAGGAAGATCCCTCGGGCTCATAGCTCTAGGGGGAGGAGACAGGACACAGCCACAAGTGGAGGGTTGGCCCCAGGAAGGATGGGAGTCCACTGGCACAAGTGCAGAAAGACAGAGTCTCCCTGAACGCGGGAACGTGGCAGCCAGGAGAGAACAGCAACTGTGGCTCTGAAGCAGACTTCTCTTTACAGTCTACGAAGCAGAAATGTTTTCCATGGGCTGGCCCACTCAGTGGAGCTTTCAAAAATAACCAATACAAACTGATTCATATAATCAATTTTTAAATTATATATGAACGTGAATCCTATTATTGATTCACACAAATTTCAGATTCAGGATAAGGAGAGGTAAGGGAAACAAAGCATCTACTGAAGACAAAGGCTCCGGACTTTCACAAAGCCCTCCTCAGTGTACGGGATCCCCTTCCACTCCAGCTGCGGGCGCCCTGGCCTCACGGCCCCCACCCAGGGACTGAGGCCACACTCCTCCACGGTCCCTTTGAGCAGTCCCTGCCCTCAGACGTGAGCTTAGTCAGCTCATCTGCCCTCAGACGTGAGCTTAGTCAGCTCATCTGCTTCAGTAAAGTCAACTACTGCAAGGGCTTCACGCACACGGTTCTGAAATTTCTAGTCAGTTGTATCAAAATCAACAACTACTGAAAAGAAGACAACTTTGTAAATGCCGTGAACCTATTTCTAGAGGCTCACTCTTCATTTCCTCTACAAGCCCATAAGAGAGTTCGTTAGAATTCTTCCTTTGTTCAGCAATTTTTTACTGAGCATCTACTGTGAGCCAAAAAAGGCACAAAACGCGGGAGTCAGAGGATGAGATCAAGTCACTGCTCTCAGGGGCAGGGGCAATTTCCACAACTGTGGTGGGTGTGGAGTGTGATGGGGTGCAGAGCAGCCATCCGGCCCAGCGCTGTGGGGGTGGGCAGGCCGGAGAAGCTTCCCAGGGAAGGAAGCAGCCAAGCTCTCAGCAGCCGATGGAGCGAGCAGGGGGGAAACATGAGGAAACCCCCCTAGTGAGAATTCTAGGAAACTGCAGCAGGTCAGTATCGCATGGAGCAACCAACTGGACGTGTCATTCATTCATTCATTCCACAGCGTCTCAACTAAGCACCTACACATGCCTGCACTAGGAGGGTCTGAGGACATCAGTGGGTCTATCAGGGAACAGCAGGCTCCAGTACTCTGAGGGCCTGTAACAAGGCATGTGACCAGGCCAGGTGGGATCAGGAGTTGGAGAAGTTGGAGGACAAGGAGACACTATCTGCTGGGGTCCTAGGTCACAAGAGTGGAAAACAAGTCTGCAAAGCAGGAGGCCACTGCAGTCACCAGCCTGAGCAACAACGGAGGCTGGTCGTAAGCAGGCAGCACTGGGAAGGGGCGCAGACACCCAGGAGGTGTCAGCACCTGGGCTTCAAGTGTGATGAACAAAGACAGCAGATGTCCCATTTCACGAACTAGGTGCAGGACGGTGCCTTAATAACACAGAAACCAGGAGCGTGAAGGACAGTCAGGGGAGGACATTCCATTCCAGATGTGAGATTTTGAGGTGCCTGTGGGACCCAAGTGGAGACCTCCAAAAGGCAGGAGAACACAGAGATGGAAGCGCAAGCGAGAGGGGCCAGAGGTGTAACTTTGGAATCTATTCCGTCTAAATAACTGATGCCCAGGGGGATGGATGAAGTCCTCCAGGAGGAGGTGGGCAGAGTGAGAACAGAAGCTGGGCGGGGAAACCCAGGGACACCCCAGCATGGGGCAGACATGGGAAGAGGAGACAGACGCTGAGCATTGAACAGAGAAGGGGTGTGACAGAGGGCAGGCGGAGAAAGAACACTTCAAAGGAGGAGGAAAAATGAGGAAGTACAAGCAAGACTGAAAGGTGTCCGTGGATGTAGCAACCAAGGGGCGGCAGGGCCTTGCAAAGAGTAGTGGAAGGTACAGCGAAGAGTGAACGGGAGTGAGGACAGAGAGCCGGCGCCTCCCCGCAGTGTGAAGGAGAGAATGGGGTCAAAAGACTGAGTGCTTGAAGGACTGGGGAACCATGAGCAGGTACAGCTGTTGATGGAAGAAAAGCCAACCAACGGGAGGGGCTGAAAGCCAGGGTAGGGGATCAAGGAAGCTCTTGGGGGTGGGAGGGAATAGAACCGAGCACAGGGCACCATGTCTCTCTGGCTGTGACAGGGAGAAAGGGAGGAAGGATGCAAAAGCAGTTAAGTGTGGACAGCAGCTACTAGTTGAAGGAATTCCA